AAAGGAATAAAAATAAATAAATAAAATATACAATCTCTCTCTCTCTCTCTCTCTCTCTCTCTCTCTCTCTCTGTGTGTGTGTGTGTGTGTGTGTGTGTGTGTGTGTGTGTGGCATAAGAGAACAATTCCTTTTTTCTTTCATCGAAACAAAAAAATCACTCATTTGAAGAAAATAATTAATCACCATAGCATGTTCTGCATCCCACCCTTCTATGCATCGATTCACCGTTCATCATCTACATGTATGCTTTGCTTTTTTGCAACCCCTATGTGTAGTTTCTATTGGTTTAGACTAAAAACTTCAAAAATCACCCCCTTTCCCTTTCGATTTTAGGTTTCAGGTCCAAACGAGAAGAGTACAAAGAGTACAGGGAATCGGAGATGGAGAGATGGGGTTTTTGTGCGTCGATCGAACAAACCCAGAATCGATAGAGAAGAACGAAGATAAGAAAGATCTAGGGTTTTCTGAGGAAGATAGAGAAGGAGAGAAACAGATTTTCCTTTGAGGGTTTTCACATTTGCGTTAGGGTTTCATGACAGTGGTTGCAACACTTATGGTCGAAGGTTTCTTAGTGGGGAAGATGAAGATGATGCTAGGAACCACTCGATCTAGGCAGATACGTTAGCAATATCGGTTGCCATACGCTGGAGTCGCCGAAGACATTCTCATGCTAGACGTCAGAGTCGCCGGAGATGGAGACATGGTATATGAGCGGTCGAAGACGGAGACATGGCGTATCAGCGGGTTTTTTTTCTCATCTCACCAAAAACTCTCCCTAATCGGATGTATGTTGCTGGTGTGTGATGGTGAATAACAATCGATGCTCTAATTTTGGTGATGAGAGTGTGAGTTGAAGAATATGGGAATAAGAAGTTGAACTGTTTCTTGAGGTTTTTAAGATCGGCGATGAAGGTGCGGTTTTTCTGGTCGGCGGTGAAGGTGAGGTTTTTCAGATCGACAACAAAGTTTTTGGGTTTTCCGATCGACGTTTGTGAAAGTTCTTTGGGTAGGTGACGAGACTGGTGAAGGAGAGATGCTTTAGATCTGGCGATGGAGAGGGATGTTCTTGAG